AAATTGAACCAATCCTGCATATGACTCATGATACAAAGAGAAAAAAATAAAACAAACCTACTATAAACTTGATGAATGAAAAAAAAATCCTTGGTCCTCTTCTCTTTTAATCCTCACAGAGACAGAACATTCCCCACAATGTTTACTAGCCCCAAACGAGACATCAGCAAGGTAAAGAAAAACCTTATCTGTGTTTAAAAAAGAACCATAAATGGAGACTTCTGTGTTCCATCCTTCCACCCGGTTCTCCCCAGCAGTCAGCCCGACACCGGCGCATCTCTGACCACTGCAGTGCCTGTCTGCTGCGTGGGCTGACTGCTTGTGGAGCTCTCGGACTCAGAGAGAGAGACCTGACCACAGAATACTGCAGCTCGGTGAGTTGGTTGATAGTGCTTGATGTTAGTCTCCAGAAGTCTGTATGCCATCAGATAAACTCGCTCGTTTTTTTATTCTTTGCATATTTGTAAAATAGCGGTGGTCGGGAGCGACTAAATAACTAATTTGTCCACAAAGAGCTGCGACCGGGTGCCCTGTTCTCATGGGAACTAGTGCAGTTTAATAAAATGGAAATTAGTTAATAAAATTTATTATTAAAAGGTTCGTATCATATCCAATAAGGTAATAGACTCAAGTGTTTGGTTTTATATATATTTTTTATAAAGTATGCATTTTGTATTACTCTTTATTAATTAATAATTAATTTTAGACTTTTGCTACAGGCCATGATAAGCTATTAAGTATTTTAAACCCATATGCTTAAGTAGTTCTTTGTATGAAGTTTTCCTCTAGGGGATCCAGAGAGGCTTGACCTTTGGGTAAGCAACCAAAGAAGAGAGTGCTGGACTCCCAATTCACACTCCCGCTTGTGCAGTGAACACTTTGGGAGTCATCACTTCACCATGGATTCCAAGGTACAAACACATAACTTCATATTTTGGTTAAGATTGAAAATTGAAGCATTAGCTGTATAATATACAGATGTTACATTGCTGTTGTAACGTTCCGAAATGGCCTGAAATAAGACCCACAGGTCAAGATCTAGAGCCAGGTCAAATTAACCTGGCTATGACTCCAACCTACATTATTTTCCCTCACAGCAGACTGAAAGTCTGCACGTAGTCCCTTTAAATCAGAGCCTTCCTTCCTCACACCAGCTGGATATGGATAAATGGCCAACCAAACGTTGACAAGTTTGAGGATGTTCCCAAGCATCTCAGAGACACACCCTCTTTGATCTGGAGACTCTGAATCTGGGCAAAAGTTATGTGTCATGCGTTAACTTAACTTTACTCTGTTCTTGTGTGAGTGCAAATGGAGATGACTTTGTCCAGTAAACATGCTAAGCATATATCATTAAGCACAGATTAATGAACATTTCATTGTTTTCTAAGTTTTATAAGTAGCAATTGTAGCAGAGGCAAATTGATGATTTTATCTGTTATGACCATGAAAATGTAATATTCTATATAAATATAAAATATTAACCTGCGAGGTCTTTATTGTAATTAATCAGAAGATTCTAGGATTGAATTCAGAAGATCTAGGTTATTTGCTTTTTCAGTGATCAACCACACTTCGTGTTACTTCAAGAAAGAGCCAAGTTTATAAAAGTAAGAATTTATTTTACAAAAATTTAAAACATGACAAATTGGTTAACTATTATTTACTATGAGTGGATGGAGCTAAAGGTAATGTCTGGAACCTATCAATCAATCAATCAATCAATCAATCAATCAAAGCTTTATTTATAAAGTGCCTTCCGCAACCCTGTCAGGAAGCCCAAAGCGCTGAACATTGTACAGTTGTATGTAAATATATTGAATAAATCAACAATAAAAGAAATTCAAATTACAAAATACAAATTACAAAATACAAAATGGAAATTACAAGATAGATGAAACATTCTGGTAAAGGACAAATGTGTGAAACACATTTGGATTGAGTGGATGGATTGAGTGTACCAATGAAAACTGTGGAATGGATTCAACATAAAAGAGGGCCGAAATCAAACATGTTCTGGAAATGCCAAGCGGAGGAGGTGTGTTTTTAGGTGATTCTTAAAGACTGGCAGAGAAGGGGACAGCCTAACTGAGGGTGGCAACTGGTTCCAGAGTAACGGTGCTAGGACTGAGAAAGCCCGGTCCCCACGGGTACGACACCTAGACCGAGGGACAGCGAGCAGGCCTTGGTCAGAGGAGCGCAGAGCACGTGATGGGGAATGTTTGTTCAGGAGAGTGGCCAGATAGGGGGGACCACCACCCTGGAAGAAATGATAGACAAAGACGAGGATTTTGAATTGTGAGCGATAGCAAATCGGAAGCCAGTGCAGAGAGGCCAGAACCGGACTGATGTGGTCCCGTTTTCTGGTCCCAGTCAGGAACCTGGTTGCACTGTTCTGCACAACCTGTAGGCGACACAGTGTGGATGAAGGATGTGTGGATGCGATATCAGTCAGAGCTTCCTTATCAAAATAAGCTGAGTTCTGGATGTAAAAGAATTTTGTCTGCGTTAAACTGTGAAGTTGTTGTCGTCAGAAGCACATTCAGACGCAATCTCTCTGTGTTCTGCCTCACCCTTTGATGACCCTCGTCTCGGATCCGGAGGCCAGAGAGGTCAGATGACCTCGGGGCACCCAGGTCCGGTAGTTTGACCTCAAGCACCGACTTCTCCAGTCTGGAGTTGTCACCAGGCAGCACAGGTTGGAATCAGCTTGCGTCTCAGGAATAACTCTTAAGGAGTTGAACAATATTAGCTTTGTTCTGCATGAACTGTTTGCTCATCAGCTTTGCAGGTGCGAAAAGGTTTTGACGACATGTCAAAATCTTTGATGGTTGCAGAGTTTTTGCTACATTTATTTTTTTACATCACATTTTATAAAATAACAGGACACAAAGTGTCGGTACATTAAAAAAACTTAAAATAATAAAAGGGGCCCAGAGAGCTGCAGAGTGAGAAGAACATTGGGTTGTGAAGGAAGAACAGAGTTGTCAACAGTGTTATGGCTATAGATAAATTATATCAACAACACATTAGCTATAACAGTCAGGGATATGTTTATCCTGTTTGCCTGAAAATAAGTCTGTCATAAAGGCCAAATTCAAAAGCAGCGAGACTCCCACCTGGAAGTCTTTCACTGCTTTTGGAGCTGGCCATTAAGACAATCGGCAAAATTAGTTAAAAAGAAATCATTTCCCCTATTTGTGAAATGAACTTTGTCTGACAAAAATTTCCCTGGACTGTCATGTCTGATGTGAGGATGCACAACAACTGCACCATTTAAGCTAGAAATAAATGTAGCCATAACACTGTTGACAAACCTTCTGGCCTTCTCAATTTTAGCAGGTTTTACACCTGCCCTCCAGCCACACCTTTGGGTGATGGATGACATGATGATCGTCATATAAGGGTGTAGAAGGTGAAGCCGGTGCAGGTCCTCCTTCATCATGTTGACCAGCTTCACACTACTGACCACCCCCATGTCATTGCCGCCACAGTGGATGAGAAGGACATCAGGAGCTGCTCTTCCTCGCAGGGAGTGGAAAAAGAAGGGGAGATGGTCTTTCCACCTCAGTCCGCCCCAACCGAACCAGGAGACACAGACGTCAGGGAGGCCAAGGTTGTCTCCGAGGGTCTCTGCAGCTCTCTGGGCACCACGCCTCACGTAGCTGTCTCCAATGATCCAAATGGCTATGGAGAAAAAATAGCAGGTTTGGCCTAGCTGTTTAAAGTACAAAACCATACATGAAGTGGTCAAGACAGGTATTAGGAACTTACACTTGCTGCTTTGTGTAGCTGATGTTGGAGACACAGGCTGCCATGGTGACCTTTTAACAGATCTGAGAAAAAAATTTAATAAAAGAATGAAACTTAAAAACTCCCAGACCTCATTTCATGATTGCTAATCAGCTATGGCTGATTTATTGTTTGGATCACAGTGAGTTACACTAATTCTAATATATTTTTTATTTCTATTATACATACATACTTTTTAACTGTTATTTTCACATGACTGTTATCAGGCTCTCTTGTTCTGGTTCTCATGATAATTATGTTTCTTCCAGTAAGTTATCTTGTGCTTACTTAATCTGTATAATGTCTCTTTACTTTTTGAGAATTGTACTGAGTCCAGAATAAAGGCTACTTGGCTTTACAAGATACAAACAAGTATTACGTTTTAGAAATATATGAAATGTATTAAGTCACTTTGCTTGCTAATTTATCTCAAATACTAATAACTACGTTAAAAATATTGAAAACTTGCTCAAAGCAAAATATATTTTCATTAAGGAAATAACTTCTAAATAGGGATGAGCCAGATACTCGTTTCAGACTAGTATCTGGTACGGATAAAGCATTTTTGACGAGTACGAGCATGAAACGAGTAAAACTCTTAAATACCTGTAATCGTGCTGAAGGAAAATCCTCACTGACTGTCTTCACGCTCTGTGATTGGCCAGTCAAATAGAGCGCCCACCCCTCCCAACATACAAAACTCTGCACCGGGAGCTCTGTCCGCGTCCGGTCCATCCAAGCACACCCAAAGACAGTAACGGATCTCTCTGTGCTTGCTTCACTGTTGCTCATGTTTCTTCAGTGCTCCCTATGTTTTCTTCAGTTCGCCTCTTTTTAAAGTTACTTTAAAGATATTTAAAGTTAAAGTTTTCGTAACGTACGTGGTGCATTTGACAAGACAGAGCTGAAAACGGCTCCTGCTGCGTCAGTCACTATCTCCGCTCCGGTTGGGTTTTTTTTCCCCCTCTGTCTCTCCTCTCTCAGGATCCACTCCCTCTTTCACTATCTCTCTCTTTCTTTACATTTTTTAATCACAATTGTCTTATTTTTTGCTCATTTTAAATATATTTTAATCATTTTCTAAATTATTTTTTTCTATTTTACATGTTTTGTTTTTGTGAAGCGCCCCATGATTTTTATCTTGAGAGGCGCTATAGAAAAGATCTTCTCTTTTCTCTCTCTCTCTCTCTCTCTCTCTCTCTCTCTCTCTCTCTCTCTCTCTCTCTTAATTCATGCACTTAAATATTAATGTTCTGATTTTATTGAAAAACTTGTTCTGTAATAGTTTCTTTACTATTGTGATCAAAAACATTTCATCTCAACTCTGAGGCTGCTCTGTAAATAGTTTTCAAATAAACAATACACTTAGCGACTTCTGATCGGACTTAAAATAACGTATTGGTTAAACTACACCCATTTCTGGGTTAGGCCACTCCCACTTCGAGTACAGATACGAATACAGATAATTTAGATGGTTGAACAGATACAGATACAGATACAGATAGTGGTGTACTCGCTCATCCCAAGCAATGGACATAAAAAGCATTGTTTGCCTTTTCTTTTATCCTTGCAGCAACACCGGAGTGTTTGCCTCTCATAACTGTGGCTCCATCATAGCCTTGTCCAATGAGATTTGACTTGTATTCAAGGCCATAGCTCTCCAAACATCCTGTGATCATTTCACTCAAGCTCTTAGCATCCAGTTGTTCGGCATGTTGAAAACAAAGAAAGCTTTCATGCACTGCACCATTGTAGTAGTATCTTACAACTAGTGACAGCTGCTCCTTCTTTTGCAGATCTTTGCTTTCCTCAGCAATCACTGAAAATACCTCACTCTTCTTCACTTCCTTCACAATGGTATCACGCACCATGTCTGCTAAACACTGCAAGATTTCATTCTGGATCGTATTGCTAGTACATTTAGCATTACCAGGTCCTTTAATTTTCTGGCTACTACAGGATTGTGTTTCGCAATGACTTCAAGAATTTCTAAAAAATTCCCTCTGTTATCAGACTCAGATTCACTGTGACCTCTCTGTGCCATATTCTGTGTTGCTGTCAAAAGCAGTACATCTGCAATTGTTTTAATGTAACTACAATTCTCTTCCACTTTTCTCTGTATTCTTGGTTTATCATATCCATTATGGATGAATCTGTTAGTACAGCTCTCTTTTGTTGACTCCAAGCCAACATGGCAGTAATGTGTGACAGATTTCTTCTGCAACTTGACACCACCATCTTTGAACATAGCCTTTTTCCAATGTGAAAATCCAGACTCTGATGTAAAAACTGATTCTGATGCACTAGGCAGGGAGAAGTGTCTGCAGGCATAACAGTAGGCTGAATCTTTGCTTGCAGAGCATTCAAGCCATGAATGCTGATCATACCATGAAGAATTGAATGATCTCTTCCTCTCACCAAAGACCGTTTTAGGAAAAATCTTCAGCTGAAGTTGAGTGGGACCTGCTGCTCTTGATTGTGAAATATCTGAAATAGATAATGCCTCACAATCAGCATAGTCTTAAACCAAAAAAACTGTGTGTTTTGATCAATTAATTGTATTGCATATACTGCAATGTATTAATGTAAAAATGCATTAAAACATACCATGAGGTCCACGTGGAGCACAAGAGGCTGCAACATCACTTTCCTCATGGGAAACCTCAGGGCTTATAGGTACTTCTGGTGGTTGGTCCTCAGTGTCAGTTTCATGGTCTGAATGTGGCTGACTTGATACCCCTAAAATGACAGTGGTATCAATCAAATGTAATAACTTTAGCTAAAAAGGAACTACAAGGCTAAAAGTGTGTTCACTTGTGCATACCATACTCCGGAGTCGCAGGTAAAGTTGAACAGCCTTCATCTCCAGAGTCTTTGTCCAACTCTTAAAAAAACACCATAGAAATAGGAAATAGCATAATACAATCTGCTATTTTAGAGCGCAGAAAAGCAGCACAGTAGGACTCCATTAATGTTGAGTTAAACAACTGTAAAAAACAAACAAACCTGTACACAAAGAAGAGCAAACAAAAACCAGTCAAAATAAAAAAAATAGAAATCACTGAAATAAACTAAAAGTAATCAACTTTTAGCATTATTTTAAATATGTAGCAGTTAATCACAGTGTTACATTACCTACCCATATGCACAGCAGAAGCTGGGGACCCCTTCTGCTGTGGTCTATCCTCAAGCTGGCTCTCTGACTGACTACTAGCATTAATGCTGGCTGATCTGTCCTGCTCTGTTGTTCCTGCTTTCTTTCTTTTGAAGAAATCCTTAATTTTCAGAGTTCTTTTCATACTGTAACAGTCACGGGAAGACAAGTCATGTTACACCTTGTTCTTAATGCATAATGAGGCAACCAAAGACTTTTCTGGCATACAAAAAATTAGCAGTGGGGGGTTCAGCTATCTCACAAGTGGCGAGGAAAAGTATTCCAACTGACTCATTAACAGTGTATTTCCGTTCACAGACTCAATTCACTTTACTTCAGATGTGTTCAGAAAAGCACCAGTGAAGTGCAACTGTGTACTAGCCAATGTTGTATAGGGTTGCAACAGTTTAAAATTTGGGTCATACAATTAAAATCTGGATAAATATTCATAGTTTCATGATTACTGTGGTTATTTTCTGTATCAATGAATATAAATCACACAAATACAAGATGTGGCTTAGAACTCCAGAAATGTATTGCTGCTTTTCTGAGATTCTGCTTAGAAAAAAGGACTATGTTTCTGTTATTTTTAAACTATAGTTTACAACTTTTAAAATACTCATCAACTTTGCCAATTACCATGTTACAAAAAATACTTAACTGTTGATAACTGGTCTGGGTTAGGTTTAACTCATGAAATTTACTCCCGTCAACACTGAAGAATGGAGACGTCAAATGAAATGAGATGCTAAATTACTATGATATAGTTATAAATATCACTCAATAGAAGTTTTACTAGTTGATATCTTTATTTTTCTAAATTAACCTTCTTTCACTGGATTGTTCTAATATTACTGTAAAGATACTCCTGTCACTAACATAATCTGACTTGTTTATTTCTCTGCATTTGGTTCTCAGACTTGATGATTGATTCAGATTTAAACCTTTGGCTGCAAATTATTTCCTGCCAGTTCTGCAGATGGGCGAGCCTAGGTCCTGAATTAATATCTCCTTTAGCATGTTTGGGGAATGTGACTTTGAACACCATAGGCAATAACAAAGCAGTTGCCTGTTGCCTCTGCCGTGATTAGCGTGCGTTCGTTGCAGTCGCGCTTCTGTTTTTGTGCGTGCGGATCGCGTGCTATCTTTGCTTTTAGCGGTGTTTAAGTAGTCTAACGGTGGTGTGACACACTGCTAGCCTAGAATCTAGATCGCTTTTGTCAACAAGATGGCTTGCCATGGCAGTCAACCCGGTTAAATGCTTTAAAGTTGCAACAAAAACTTTTTTACTATAAATCTTTCAAAAGTCTAGTCACATTTCAAGAAACAAATGTTATGAAATCACTTACATGAAGGAAAGATGTTCAAATATTGTTCATTGAATGTATGTTATCCACGGTTATCCACTAGCTTGTCTTCTCCAGAAACCTTCTTCTTCTGGTAATCTGTAGGGCTCCTCGTCCTCCTTCTTCTTAGAACTGTACTGTTGCAGGTGGTCAGCCACTTCTTGGCTAATTACCACCACCAACTGGAATGGAGTGGGAATGAACCAGGACTCCAATTACAATTTATTTAAAAAATACAAGATAATAAAGAATAATAAAATAAAATTAATAAGATAATGTTGAATATGCATGCTGCATCTAACTTTTTTGAGATTTATAATTCCAGAACGTTTGTGGAAAATGTAATGTCAAGTTAAATGGAGCTCAGTGTGGGTGGCACTTGGGGTGGCCAATCAGATTCCAGGGGTGGCATGTGCCACCTCAGGCCACTCCCTGGACACGCCCCTGAATGCGCCGGCAATTCGTGAGATCACTAGGCAATGATCAGGCATGATTTAAGTTTTGTGAATTTATTACAAACATCAGCTGTGAAATTTGACAAAGAGAACCAAACAGCTTATTTTTTCATGCATGTGAATAAGTAAGTGGATAAACACAAGGCTTTATGGCAGTGCTATGACATAACTAGTCTGTAATTAAAGTGGAAATTGGGTGACACATAGGATTATAGTAAATATTAGGAATAACTTCTGTAAGGAGAACAAGTGTGTGTGTGTGTGTGTGTGTGTGTGTGTGTGTGTGTGTGTGTGTGTGTGTGTGTGTGTGTGTGTGTGTGTGTGTGTGTGTGTGTGTGTGTGTGTGTGTACGTTCCTATGGGTATAGGAATACAGGAGTATGTGTGTGGGTGTGTGTGTGTGAATAAGGATTTGTGTACGGCAGATAAAGAAGATAAATCTTGAGAGATAAACGGGAATTTGGATTGAAAATAACAAGCCATAAAATTTTTAATCTGAATTCACTAATCGGGCTTAGCAGGAAAAGTCAACCAGATGAAAATGATTCACAGACCTTTTCTCCGTCGCCAAAGTGGTGTCCTATGGGCTGGTTCAGCCGGTCCAGAAGCTTTAATGTGGCCTTCAGGGGCCGTAGGACTTTTTGGCAATTCAGCTTAGGTCAACGGGCGTCTTTGGATTGGAGAATGATGCTCCACCATGGCTTAACTTTAAGGTCATCAACTCAGCTGCACCGAAACGTGTAATTCAGAGCGCGAGTCCAGATTCACAAACGGTGCTGAATCAGAACTGTTCCAAATAGCTTTTAACTCTTAATGCATGAACTTCTTGAACGTGTCAACTTCCGGTTGCGCGTGGGACATCATAAAATAACAAACAGAGTTGCTTCTGTCCTGCCGAAACTTTTGAGAGCTAATGCTTGGTTTCTATAGAGCGTAGGTTTCTTTCTAGGCCAAGATGGAAAAGCCAAGCAGAGGTTTGCTTAAGGCGTCTGTGGTTCTTAAACTGCCGCCACGAGGTTCAGATGGGTGCTTATATAACCTTTTGGGCACGCCCACCTGTATCTCACTCAAAAACCACTGGAGGGCACTGTGGCTCTTCCAAATAAACTACCTTCTCCAAGATGGAAAGTCCATAATCACAATTTAACACAGTTATTCATATAAACCCTCAAAAAGAATTACTTTAGCATCAAAGTATTACTTTAAACGGGAAATAATCAAATTCATGTCTTAAAACTGGACAGTTTTACCATTAGCATGAATTTTAACTGGAGAAACACCAAATGACAGAAGTTTAACAACGAATAAAAGAAAACACAAAACATGCAGTTTGGATAAGATTCTAATTTAGAGCACCTTGATTTCTATTTTAAGAGTAAACAACCTAAACACCTTCTTTGATTGTAGATAAACAGGAATGCAAGGCTTATAAAGACTCAGGTCTTGAAGCTCCCAGGAGAACCTAAAAGAAATTTTACGACTTCTCCTATCTTGAGAAAAGGGTCAGTCTGAGGTTGATGTAAAACAGCCCAGTCTTCTGATATTACTTGCGCCTCCTAAGTGGCGCAGAAAGGAAGGCACATAAAGGAGGCCAGCCAAATTGGTGCAATTTATGATCCTGGGAGAGTCGTAGGAGTTAGCCAGATGTTCGAAAATGGTCTCTCGGAATTTATATGATTGTAAGTCAGTTTCCCATTCCCCCTTTTTCCTGCCAAGTGTGGAAGAGCCCTTTGTGTGAAAATGTTCTTGTTCTTTTCCGTGTAAATCCATACAAAGGTAACCTGAGGATATGAAATGTGGATTTCCGCTACAGTGTCGATGGATGAAACAAGATCTCTGAACGGCGATGCTCATACAAATAAATAACGTAATTTTAACACACGTAATCATACATCGGAGCTTTAATATTGTTAATAATGGTCTTGCTTTACACTACAGTGGTGAAATACCCATCCATGTGAAGAACGCATCCTATTTGTACCTGTCCCTGTCTTCGTCATGAAATAAATGAACGTTAATCTTACTCGGTAAAAACATGTTCGCTGTAAATCTGAGGGCTGGTAGTCCATTTGATTGATTGCTGCAGTTCATTTCCGTCCTCAAGTCTCGATCAGCATTATTTGAAAAAAATAAATAAATAAAAAAACGAGTTGACTTTACATCCTTGTCTGTTAGTGCAGCCAGCCACGTAGCAAGTTGTTACCATTTTACTGTGAAACCAACTAAATTAAAGCGATAAAAGGCTACAAACGGGCTTGTTTTGACTAGCTTCACCGAAGTTTCAACGTGTGTAAACGGTCTTTTTGCCGTCCATCATGGCGAAGGGGGCGGTCCCATGAGTAGCATGACGCCACTTGCAAAGGGTCAATAGAAATCGCAGCAGGTTTTGCTGTGTGAAGTGTTTCAAGTACACCTGTCCCAAGTGCAGAGAGCAAGATCAGTGGGTTGGTGAAGAATGCAAATAATACATACTAGCTGTAAAAGGCAGAAAGAAGAGGGGACTGTAACTGAATAAGTAAAAGCATATTTCCAGAGGATTGATCAAAAATGGGTGATTAGATGAACAGCCAAGTAGATCATAACCTGGAGAGATAGCAGAAACGTTATCAACCAATCAGTGATGAACAATCAACACCAAATTGTGTTATTTCCTCATGTGTACAAACATGTTCCAACTCTGTGGGGGACCATGAACCATGACTTTGGCCACCTCTTATAGAAAAAAAAATTCATACATTACAAACTGAGTGTTAAGAATCTTTTTGGCTGATTTTTCATTTCCTTATTCAATCAATAAAACACACGTGCTGATAAGTTTGTCTTTCATGTTTGCAGTTTAGTCAAAATATTGGGATATTTTTATAAAATAAGGTATACTTTGTTTTTGTCCCTGACGTAAGACTGTCCATGTCACACACCGAGACTTGAGCTATAGGTGATGGTTTGAGTAAACAAATGCAATCAACTGCAAATGCGGGAGCATGCCCGCTCATTGGTGTGCTTCCACAACAAAGAAAGGACAATGGACAAGCCCAGGATGCTAATGAGTCACAAGAATTACATTTCTTCAGTGAAGCTACCAATTTCAACAAATCTCTTTTTATTTGTTTGATTTGCTTTGTTAAATAATTCTGCTCATTCACATTCTGAGTCTTAAACCTCCACCTCTTTAACAGGATTGGTGCCATCCCTACAAACCTGCTAAATAATCCTCTACACACCCTCTGGTGGTGCATTTAGGAACAGCAGGTGTCAAGTGCCAGTTTAATTTGTCGTTCTTGTAGCATAAATACATAAAGGTGTAATAATTATTAACATTAGACAGTGCACGTTTATGTAGTTGGCTTTAATGGGTTAAACTCGTCTCTGTGTCTTGTTTTTGTCCACAAACACACAGCTCAAGTTTCTTCAATCCCAAAGAAGTTTGGTTTTCCAGAATTTGGAAGTGAGGAAAAAAAATTGCTTCATAACAATTCATGGTAGGAAAAAACTGTTTTGTTGTTTTCATTTTTTAAATATGAAGAAAAACTGCCCGATTTGCTTATGAGCCAGAAAATGGAAACCCTCCTCACAGGTAGCAGGTGGACGCAGCAACCAGGAACGTGGCTCTGATGAGACATAAGGTAGACAAAACTTTACTCTCTACCCAGGCAAAAGGAACCGTACGGCTGGAAGCTGCTGACGGATCTCCAACATGTCCAACATGTCTCAAGCAAATAAAAAGCACACTTAGAAATCCTCCAACTGTGAAATAACCACCGGTGAAAACGGCTGAACTGTTGGATTCTGTCAGTTCCACTAAGCTGTGAAAAAAGCACCTGTGCCCCAGCAATATAGGAACAAGCTATATGGAAATAAAGATTCGTAAATGTTCTGTTAAAATAAATCATCGCAAGGGTGTCAAACTCAAACTCACACGGGGCCGAAATGAAACTCTGGGACGGAGTCGAGGGCCAAACTTAATATGTTTTGAAAAAGTGACGGCAAATTTGCACATTTTTTTATCAACATATATGCAATTTTGAACCTTTAAATTTGGAAACAAACTTATTTCTGCATTAACACTGAATGTGGAATAACCAAATTACACACGAGCAAGTCAGTTTTAAATAAAAGGCATCAGTGGTATTCATTACTTGTGGTATAATCAGCATTTTTAAAATCTTTTAAATCTTTAAATGTTTTAAATCTTTTCTCACGGGCCAACAACAAAATAAAAATATCATTTTATCTTAAATGAAAATGCAA